CTGGACAAGTCATTTAACCTCTCTGAGTCTCAATTTCCTTATCTATGAAATGGGGATAATAAGAGGATGAAAGGAGATAATGCATATAAAGTGCTTTGCAAACTTTAAAGTGCTATACAAATGTGTTATTATTTAGCATTTTATTTCACCTTCTCTTTTTATTTGTTGAGAGTGTTAGAGGACCCAGGAAGAGCAGGTGCTAGAGGGAGTTCTTCCCCTCACCTTTCCTGCTAATTCTCTCTTTCCTCTTCCCCTTCCTAACCCCTAAAAGAGGGAACCCAGAGCCCCTGGCTGCATTCCAAACCTCAAGTCCAAGTCCACTTCCCAGCCATGGGTTTCTCTTCCCCTGGCAGAGCATTCAAAGTCACTCATACCACGTGGATGAGCAGGGAATCATCGGTTATAATCCTTCCAGTGAGATGGAGGACTATAGGGCTTTACCATCTGTCTTGCCAGTATACCTCTGGACCTTGGGTGCTATCTTCTGACCTGCCACCATACCCTAAGACCCCTGGGCTTTGACATCCACACTATGGCTGAGCCCACCTATATGCAGTGTCTCCTCCGATCAGGCTGTGAGTTCCTTGAGAGCAAAGACTGTTTATTTTCCATCTGTGTCCTCAGCACTTAGCACAGTGTATAGCACATAGTATGCATTTACTAAATGTCTTTTCATTCATTCATTCATTCATTCATTCATTCTTTAGTTTATAAAAAATTATTAAATTAAAAGTTCTCTCGCTTGGAGAAAATCATTGAGAAATTATATGGCTGGAAAGGGGAATGGCAGTGACAGTGAGACTCCCCAGTGGAAATGTTCAAGAGGCAATTAGAAACACAACTCAAGAGAGTTGTAGTTGTTGGAAATGGAGACTTGGGAGTCAACCACATAAAGGAATAGATAAGGATAAGATAATAGATAAGAAAGGATAAGAACTGTGAGGATAACAGTGTGAAAGAAAACACAGGTTTGAAGAATAAATTGGGGGGAATGTTCTTAGTTGATGGGAGGAGGAATAGAAGTTATCATGGAAGGAAGCATAAGAAACAATTGGAGAAGTAACTCAAGTCTAAATACACACACACACACACACATACACATAATTGTTCACTGAATGCTAGAAAGCTAAAACCAAAGGACATACCTTTAAGTTTAAAAGGCAGATTTTTTTTAGCAAACTCATAGAACTCACTACCTTCAATAAGCTGATGCTCCAATAAATCACAGAATATTGGGTTCAGTATACTCTCAGTTTGTATGTTTGTATGTTGTCTCCTCCATTAAAGTATAAGCTCCTTGAGGGCAGGGACTGTCTTTTGCCTTTTTTTGTAGTCCAAGTACTTAGCACAGTGCCTGGCACATAGTAGGCATTTCATAAATGTTGACTGATTGATTGATTAATATCTCTGCCAGGGACAGGATTCCCTTCCATCTTTAACCCCCTTTTTGACTAGAATCAACACCTACAACCTAAGACCGCCCACAGGTAGCAAGCAAAGGCAAGACGACAACAACCAATTTGTATCCCAGGGTAACAGTCCCCTCACCCCCACCCCCTCACTCACTGGTGTCATTCTAGCTGACTTTCTAGCCTGAGGGACTCTGAAGTACAGTGCTACTGTTTTCCTTAGCTTGTGTCCCTGCTAAACTATGGGCTTTTCATCAGAAAAGGCACTATAATAGTGTTATAAATCTGAAGCATAACTAGGCTTTGTTTGGACCTTCAATGAAAACCTTATTAAACATCTTTTTAAAAAACATATTATAACTCATTTATTTTTAGTTTCCAACATTCACTTCTACAAGATTTTGAGTTCCAAATTTTCTCCCCATCTTGTTCCTCTCCCCACCCCAATATGGCATGCATTCTGAATACCCCTTCCCCTAATCTGCCCTCCCTTCTATCTCTCCCCCCCTTCTCTTATTCCCTCCCCCTTCAATTTTCCTGTAGGGTAGGGTAGATTTCTATACCCCATTTCCTGTATATCTTATTTCCCAGTTGCATGTGAAAACAATTTTTTTTAACATTTGTTTTTTAAAACTTTGGGTTTCAAATTTTCTCCCTCCCTCCCTCCCCACCCACCCTCATTGAGAACATAAGCAACTTGATACAGGTTATACATGTGTAGTCATGTAAAACACTTCCAAAGTGGTCATGTTGTGAAAAACTAAATATATTTCCCTTAATACTATCCCACCCCCCATTTATCCTATTCTCTCTTTTGACTCTGTCTCTCCTTAGAAGTGTTTGCTTCTGATTACTCCCTCCCCCATCTGCCCTCCCCTCCATCATCCTCCTGCTCTCTTGTTCCCTTCCCCCCACCTATTTTCCTATAGGGTAAGATAGATTTCCATACCCAATTGAGTGTGTATGTTATTCTCTCCTTAAGCCAAATCCGATGAAGATTCACTCATTCCCTCTCACCTCCCCACATTTCCTCTCCACTGTAAAAGCCTTTTCTTGTGTGTTTTATGTGAGATAATTTACCCCATTCTACCTCTCCCTTTATCCTTCTCTCTGTATAATCCTCTCTCACCCCTTAATTTTATTTTCCAGATAACATCCCTTCATCTTCAACTCATCCTGTGCCATCCATCCATCTATTTATCTATCTATCTATCTATCTATCTATCTATCTATCTATCTATCTATCTACCTACATACATATAATTTTTTCCCTTCAATTACACTAATACTGACAAAGGACTCATGAGTTAAAAATATCATCTTTCCACACAGAATGTAAATAGTTCAATCTCAATAAGTCTCTTATGATTCCTGTTTACCTCTTCATGTTTCTCTTGAGTCTTGTATCTGAAAGTCAAATTTTCTATTCAGCTCTGGTCTTTTCATCAAGAATGATTGAAAGTCCTCTATTTCACTGAATGTCCATTTTTTTTTTCCCTGAAGGAGTATGCTCAGTTTTGCTAGGTAGGTGATTCTTGGTTTTAAACCTATTTCCTTTGTCCTCTGGAATATTATATTCCAAGCCCTGTGGTCCCTTAATGTAGCAGCTGCTAAATCTTGTGTTATTCTGATTGTGTTTCCACAATACTTGAATTGTTTCTTTCTGGCTGCTTGTAATATTTTTCTCCTTGACCTGAGAACTCTGGAATTTGGCTACAATATTCCTAGGAGTTTTCCTTTGGGGATCTCTTTCAGGAGGTGATCACTGGATTCTTTCCATTTCTATTTTGCCCTCTGGTTTTAAAATATCAGGGCAGTTTTTCTTGATAATTTCTTGAAAGATGATGTCTAGGCCCTTTTTTTGATCATGGCTTTCAAATAGTCCAATAATTTTTAAATTATGTCTCCTGGATCTGTTTCCCAGGTCAGTTGTTTTTCCAATGAGATATCTTACATTGTTTTCTATTTTTTTATTCTTTTGGATTTGTTTTACAATGTCTTGATTTCTCATAAAGTCACTAGCTTCCAATTGCTCCATTCTAATTTTTAAGGAAGTATTTTCTCCAGTAAGCTTTTGGACTTCTTTTTCCATTTGGCCAATTTTGCTTTTTAAGGCATTCTTCTCATTGGCTTTTTGGATCTCTTTTGCCATTTGGGTTAGGTTATTTTTTAAGGTGTTATTTTCTTCAGTATTTTTTTGGGTCTCCTTTAACAAGCTGTTGACTTGTTTTTCATGATTTTCTTGCATCACTCTCAGTTTTTCCTCTGCTTCTCTTACTTGCTTATCAAAATCCTTTTTGAGCTCTTCCATGGCCATGGACCAATTCATATTTTTCTTGGAGTCTTTGGATGTAGGAGCTTTGACTTTGTTGTCGTCTTCTGGTTGTATGTTTTGATCTTTTTTGTCACCAAAGAAAGATTCTGTGGTCTGACTCTTTTTGTGCTGCTTGCTCATGATCCCAGCCAATTACTTGAATTATAAACTCTTTGTTAAGGTAGGAGTCTGCTTCCAGTGTAGAGAATGTACTGTCCCAAGCTTTGGGGGTTTTGTGCAGCTGTTTTCAGAGATACTTCTAGGGACCTGTAAATTTTCGGTTCTTCCAAGGTGCTATGACCAAGGGCGAGGTGTTTACTCCTTTCCTGGCCTGTGCTCTGGTCTATGAGTGACCACAAGCACTCTTTTCTGTCTTGGAACTGTGAGGAGGATTTTCTCTTCACCACCACTACAAGTTCCACCACACCAAAGCTCCTCCTCCCCCCAGGACTGCCACCCAGAACTGTGACCCAGATACAAACACAGGCAAAGCAAGAGAGTCCTGCACCAGCAAAGAGATCCCTGCAATCCCCCTCTGATCAGTCACTTGATTCCCCCTCAGTCTGTGGGCCAGAAGTCTGGAAGCACCTGCTGCCCCGGGGCTGAGCTTAGGGACTGGAGCTGGGACTCCATGCTTCTCTCTCACCACAGACACAGACTTTTCCTACTGACTAAGTTGTCTCTGGCATTTATGGGTTGAGAAGTCTGGAAACTGCCACCGCTGCCTACGATTCAGTCCCCTGAGGCCTGCTCCAGGTTCACTCTGAAAACCTTATTAAACATCTTAAAGCAAAACCTGGATAAGCACTTACCAAAAATCTTGTAGAAAGGATTGAAATCTCAGAAGTCTCTTCTATCTCTGAAATTCTGTGACTATATGAATTCTAAGAGCTGTGATGCACCTCCCACTGTCCCTTCCCATCCTATAGTACCTGCTAGACATCTCCCCAGTTGAAGCCTTTCCTGCTGCTGCCCATGCCTTTGTGTGACACTTGTCTTCTTGGTGCACCCATGAAAAAAATGCAGCTTACCAAATAGAAACCAAGCAGTATCCCAGTAGACATACTTGGGTGCTCAGAATTCTTTAAAGCAAGGTTTTTCTGGAGAGGAAGGCCATTCTGGAGGAATCACTCCACAAAGTGCCTGACATTCTGGTTTGTAGACAGTGGGTTGTATTCCCCTGCTGCCCACCATGAGATGAGTGGGACAGTGTAGACGAAAGGAGAATAAGATGCTGTCCTGAAAACGGAAGATTAAATAGGAAGCAAACTTCTTACCTCCCCTCTTCGAACCTGGATACTCCTGAGGATTCGCTCTAGTTGGCCAACTTGCTGGGTAAGCCGATGGCTATTTTCCTGCAGTAGCTTGTTTTCTTCACCGAGAAAAAGTACCCTATGGGTGGCATAAACCAGAGGTAAAATTACAAATTTTTGTCTGGATCCTGTGTAATTCCAAGAGTTCCCATTTTTCCTGTGCCTCAGACTCTTGCCCAGATTTTGGGAAGCACAATATGACAAGACAACTCTCCAGTACCTCCATCAGATTCACTAAATAAAAATAAATGCCAATTTCCTGGAAATTTAATAAATACATAGCTCTTAAGTGCAGAAGTGTGCTAGATGTAACCAAGGAATGTGGAAGAAACAGAAGAATCACAGGAGCTCATTGTTAGAAGAAACCTCAGAAATCATCCAGTCTAACCCAAACCTGGATGGAGATGTTCTCTATGGCATTTTTCACATGTAGCCTCTGTTTGAAGTCCTTAGGTGAAAGGGAACCCACTAGCTTTCAAGACAGCACAGTGCTAATGAGTTGGGCTCTGCCATTTACTGCTAGTTTTTAATCGATATTTTCTGTTTCTTACATCACCATAGTATCCCATGAATCCCTTCCCCTTCTCCTCCCTGAGGCCCATTCCATACGACAAAGAGCATTTTTTAGAAAGGAAAAAAGTTAGCACAACTGATAGATACATTGAAAAAAAATCCAAAAACATTCCAATGTGTAACACCTGTGGACCTGCCACTTCCATGAGGGGTAGATTGGGGGTGTCTTCTCATATTTCTTCATTTGAGTCCCATTTGACTTTTATAATTTTTTGTCATTTACTTTTGATTTTTTGGTGCGTTGTTCTTTTCATTTACGTTGTTGTAGTTAATGTGTATATTGTTTCCTTGGCTCTGCTTACAATTCATATAGATCTTTCTATGCTTCTCTGAATTCATGGCATATATCCATTCTTATAGCACAGTATTAGTCTATTATATTCATGTACCACAGTTTAGCCATTCCCCAATTGATGGGCATCTACTTTATTTGCAATTCTTAACTACTATGAAAAAGAGCTGTTATTAATATTTTGGAGTATATGGGGACTTTCTTTGTAATTAATGGCTTCCACAGGTATAAGACCAGCAATGGAGCCTCTGGTTCAAAGAGTATGGATATTTTAGTAATTTCATTTGCATAATTCCAAATTGCTTTCCAAAATGGTTGTACTATTTTACAGCTCTGCCAACAGAGTTTTAACGTACCTATCTTCCCATACCCCCTCCAACATTAACTATTGCCATTTTTTGTCATTTTTGCCAATTTTCTGGGTGTAAGGTAAAACCTCAGTGTTGTTTTGATGTGCATTTCCCTTATTATTAGTGACTTGGAGCATTTTTTTCATGTGGTTGTGTATACTTTGGCATTCTTCTATTTAGAACTGTTTGTTCATAGCCTTTGACCACTATTATCTATTGAGGAATGTTATATATTCATGTTATATACATATATATATTTATGTATGTACATATAAATGCACTTATTTTTAACATATTATATATATTTAATTATTGCCATATTTTGAATACCGAACCCTTATCAGAGAAATTTGATACAAAGATTTTTTTCCTATTCAACCACTTCCATTCTTATCCTATGTGCATTAATTCTGTCTGTGCAGAAGCCTTTCAGGTTCAAGTAATCAAAGTTATCTATTTTGTTTTTAATTAATTATTAGTTAATTAAATAAAATTAATTTAAATAAATAAATTAATTATTTAATTCCCACTATCTCTTGTTTGGTTAAGAATACATCTCCTACCCATAACTGTGAGAGGTATATGATCTGTTTCTCTTGTAATTTTAATAGTATGATCTTTAATATTAAGATCATGAGCCCGTTTAGAATGTATTTTGGAGTGTGGTGTAAGATGTTGGCCTAAGTCTAATTTCTGCCATCAGCACCCCTTCTGATATTGTAGTTGTACCTCTTTCACCAGTACAGTGATACCATTATGTCAGTGGGACAAACCAAGGGAAATTAAATGTCATGATTACTATTTATGATTGTAACTTTAGATTACTTTTGGATATATGCTGGAACCATCTCTTGTGGTTCACACACAGATGAAGAGTGGAAGTGTATTTTTTTTTTTTAGTATCACTGAGGGGACCAATTTCCTCCCATTTTAAAGCAGTTACCATAATTCTTTATCATATTTTTCCCATCCCTTCCTTCACTAGGTTTATCCTACTACTAGATAATCAGTCATTTTTGAAATGTTGCTATTTTCCCCAATAAGCAGGGTGGGGAGGGATCAGAAAATCAATCTTCGCATCTTCCCTTAAGCTACCAGGTATGTTATCAAGAATTCCCTTAAGCTACCAGGTATGTTATTCAAGGAATTCTGAAAGAATAATTCCAGGAGTTCCTGCCAACCTGGCTTGATGCCAATAAGTTCTTTTCCCACTGTTTGCCATGGCATTTGTCTCTGTGACAACAGAATACATAGCTGGTACCTGTCCAGTAGTATCACTCAGTGTGGTGATTGGACCTCAAATCAGGTAGCTGGAATAGAAAGGATCTCTGAGACACCAATTCTAACAAATTTATAAATTATGATTATCATACTCTAGCCTTTAATCCAGTTTAACCCCCTGTACATTTTAATAACAACAGGTCACTGGAATACACTTAACTAGTTAATCCATGATAAGTTATTAGACAGTCACTAATGTTACTATGTCTGAAGATAATTCACTTCCCAAAGAGGGGTTTGAGGATTAGGGCATGGTCACTACTTATAACCACAGTGTGAGCCAGTGGGTTCTAGTGGGTTCATAGTCAGGCTGTGTAAGTTCAAATTCCAATTCTGCCCTTTACTAATTCTGTAAACTTTGATAAATCACTTAATCTCTCAGAGCTTCAACTTCCTTGTGGATAAAATGGACGGTTAGACTACATGCCCACTAAGGTCCCTTTTTTAGTTCTAAATCTATGATCCTACAAGACTGTCAAGGATAGCAGATTGTGAAATATTTTAAAGAATTGAAAGAGTGTCTCAGTTTTCTTTTTACTTAATTAGTAATATCATTTTTGTGGAGACATTTTGCCAGAAAAGAGCCATATTCTTTGGGAATAAATCCTCACCTATTCTGGACTGAAGAGATCGTATATGTGTTGCCTTGTATAGTTTCATCTCGTTCTGTTAGTTTCTCTAAAAGTTGCTTCTTTTCAAGGAGCAGATTCTCATTCTGCGTGGTGACTTGGTCCTGGAACGCCTTCTCCTAGGGAAAAGGAAGCTTCTTGATAGCAAACATGTCATTGTCAAGAATCACTATCATGGAATGAATTGTGGGTTTAGCTATGTTGGCTTACAGTAGGATATAAACTCCATGAAGGCAGGGGCTGTTTTTCATTTTCTGTTTGTATCCCCTGCAAAGTTCTTTGCACATAGCAGGCAAATAATATATATCACTAGAAAGTGAAAGTGATTTGGAGTTTTATTCTTTTTTCCAGAGTTGTTTTCTGTTTTTATTCAGAAGAGAAAATTTAAGTTGATTTTAGCATTCCTTTTCACTAATTTTCTTATATTATGTACTATTTGGACTCTGACTCTTTCTTTCCCACTTATACTTATGTTCCAAGGATCCATGATTTCATCCCCTTGCATACTTCTACCAATGTAGGTCAATAGACATTTATTAAGTGCCACCTATATGCCAGGTACTGTGTACTTTTGGGGATCAAAGAAAGGTAAAAGACAGTCCCTGCCGTCAAGGAGCTCACAGTCTAATGGGGGAGACAATATGTAAAACTATATATATATATATATATATATATACACACACACACACACACACACACACACACACACACACACACAAGCTATGTTCAGAATGAATTGGAAATAATCAGTGGAGAGAAGCCACTAGATTAAGAGTCACTGAAAAAAGCCTCCTGTTGAAGGTATTGAAGGTAAGATTTTAGCTGGGATATGAAGGAAGACAGGGAAGCCAAGAGGCAGAGATGAGGAAGAAGAGCATTCCAGGCATGGGGGACAACCAATGAAAATGCCCAGAGTTGAGACGAAGTGTCTTGTTTAAGGAATATCAAGGAAGCCACTGGATCAAAAAATGCACGGGGCAGGGAGAGGAGGGAGTGAGTCTTAAGACTGGAAAGATAGAGGGGAGGGCTAAGTTATGAAGGGCTTGGAATGCCAGAGAGATGATTTTATATTTGATCCTGGAGGTGTAGGGAGCCCCTGGATTTGAAGGGGCAGGGGTGACATGGTCAGAACTGTGCTTTAGGAAAATCCCTTTAATAGCTGAGGGGAGGATGGATGGGAGTGGGGCGAGATTTGTGGCAGGGAGGTCAACCAGCAGGCTATTGCAATAGTCTAGGCATGAGACCATGAAAGCCTGCACTGGTAGTGACAGTATCAGAGGGAAGCAAGGGTTGTATTCAAGAGATGTTACAAAAGTCAAATCAACAGACCTTAGCAACAGACTAGATATGCTGGGGGTGAGTGGGGGGGGGCAGCAAACTAAGGTGAGGGAGAGTGAGGTGTGAGATCATAGCTCTGGTAGGCCTTAGTACAGGGGTGGGGAACCACCACATGTGGTCCCCTATTCAGTCAAAGGGCTGCACTTAAGGACCTAGAGAGCCACACGTGGCCTTGAGGTTGCAGGTTCCCCACCCCTGCCTTACTAGATGGTTTCATAAGTTGCTGTGGCCAAAAAAATTAACCACTTTGATATTGTGAAGTCCTTCAGTCAGGAAATTAGCCCTTATATCTAACCTCAGTTTCCCTTACAGAAACTGGTGATTGTTTTCCATGGACTTTTTTATGCAACAAGGCATAGCTGGACCTGGAATCAGGACAAATGGGGTTCAAATCCCACCCTGGACGCTGATGACTATACTTGTGTAATCATGGGCAAGTCACTATACCTTGGATTCCTCATCTATAAAATGGGCAAAATACTACCTGAGTTATTATGAGGCTTAAATGAAATAATATAGAAAGTCAACAGGCGTTTATGGAGTGGTTACTAAGTGCCTGGCACTGTTCAAACTTGAGCATGCTTTTGCGTGTCATTTATTATGATTGTTTAAAGCCCAAGGGTGAGGAACCTGCAGCCTCGAGGCCACATATGGCCCTGTAGGTCCTCAAGTGTCACCCTTTGACTGAATCCAAACTTCACAGAACAAATCCCCTTAGTAAAAGGATCTGTTCTATAAAACTTAGGCTAGATTCAAGCATAAGGAAAAACTTTCTCGTGAAAAAGGCTCAATCTTTAACCACTGTGGCTTTTATGCTACTCTTCAACCAAAGCTCTGATTTATACTTAATCTTCTTTAGGGAAAGTGTTCCCAGTTCTCTGAATATTTATTCAAATGTCTTCTTATGTAGCTGCCTAGTTTAATGTGTACACAAGCTATCTCCCATACCTGGAATGCACTACCTTTCAAAACTGTTCAGCTCTGAGGCCACTTCCAAAAGGAAGCCTTCCTGGATCCCACCAGTTAAAAAAAGAAGTCTCAAACCTTTATTAGGAACTAGAAAATCATCAAAAACACAAACATTTCCATAAACAAAGGTCAGATAATGGGAATTGTATGTGAAATTGTGAATCCAGAACATGCAGATTGTGTTTTGGTAATTGTGGGCAACTGTTCTATGATAATGGTTGTTATATTATAGTTTGTTTGTTGAATTCTCCAGGATATTCTGAGATTTGTATTTGCAGCCTGAGAGTTGGTCACCTATTTACAAAAGATAGAGAATTTCTGATATATTAGTCTAGAGTGTCTTGTCAAGTAAGTGCTAAATTTTTGCAACCTGCAGTAAAACATTGTGTACTTCCTACTATTTCCTTACAGAATCTGCACTGATCACTATACTCAGGGTCCTGTAATTTCTCATTCTGGTGGCTTGGTCCTTCTATTTCTATAAAAAGTCTGAGTAGCTCAGCCATTGGTTTAGAGTGTCTTTGGTTGGTTGAATTCAAGTGAATGTCACTCACAGAGGGCTTTTAGATTTCATTGTTGGATCTTAGGTGTTCATTAGGCTCCATCTAGAGGTAAGCCACTACTGGTTACTATTAGACAATTGCACAGGTGTGTGCCTATCATCACCCTTTACTTACTTAGTGAAGCGATGTCTGCTTATTACAAAAATATTTCTTTATTTATTATGTTTTCTGAGATATCTATCAATCTTATTCCTCATTTTTTATAAAAAAAGTTTTCATCTTTCCATAGCTGCCTCAATATGATGGGTCCTGTGTTTATTAAAGTCGTATGGCTTTTTCTTAGGCTACTTTCCAAATATGTTATGGTCCATTTTCCAGCTCCAAAAGTGTATGTCAAGACTGGTGCTGCAGAGGTTTTAATTGCTTTAAATGCATTCTTCCCACCCAGGCTTCATTTTAGGATGCCAACAAGTCTCCTGATGTACATTGCCACAGCTTTCTTCTTGATAGCTTTATGCTTGATGTGTCTTATCTGAAGGAGAATGAGGTAAATTTGTAAGCATCACCTTGATCCATTGGTTCAATTTAACTTCCGACTCATAGTCTTTAATCTGTATCTTACCTTAGTGGATATAAAGAAATTTATATTTATTGAGTTCAAGTGACATTTTAATATCAATTGAGAAAGGTTCTAAAAGATGGAGAAGCTGTGTCATACATTTTCTGTGGATTTATATAACTTGATGTCCATCAATCAAGTGATTAATAAGGTGCTTTGGAATAGCCCTTCCGTCTTTCACTTGGAAGCCACAATCAGATACTTTAGGAGAAAGAAGAATATGTTTAAGGTTAGGCAAACTCAGAAAGGGCTTCCTGGAAAGTACCATGCTTTATATAAATTGTTCTTGATATTATGTTGGTGGCATGTTTTAAATAGGGAATAGTTTTCCACGTAGATTACGATTATGCATTCGTAGACTCCCAGAATAGTCCCCTGAACTAGGCCTATGGGACAGTGTGACCAAAGGTACAATTACGTAATCTGCAAAAAGCATACATTTTTTAATTAAAGGGGAGAATGAATGTCATGGGTGTGCCCATATACTGTACTCTCCTGTGTCCCCACTGACTTTATTGATAAGGATCTTGTCTTACATTAAAGAAATTTCTCAATATGAGGTGTAAAAATGTTAATTTGCTCCACTGATGAAGACTGCGTTCTGACATGAATAGTTCCTTAAAAAGGTGTGAAATTTCCTTAATAAGAAATGAAACTCTAATAAGAAGACATGGAGAAAAATTTTCAGGAAGAGAAGGCCTGAATGAGTTGCAATCTGTACTTGGAGGGAGTACCTGTATTCCATGAACAAGACAGCCCACCTCTTGGCTCTAGGCATTCTCTCTGTTTGTCCCCCCTCCCTGGAAGTTTCTCCCTTCTCTCTGACTACTTCCACGGTTTCTTTTAATTCTCAATTAAAATCCCACATTCTTTGAGAAACCTATGCCAACCCTTCTTAAGTGCAGTTGCTTCCCTGTTAACTATTTCCTATTTACCTAAATATAGCTTACTTTGTATATACTTGTTTGCATGTTACGCCCCTTATTAGATTATAAACTCCTTGAGGGCAGGGATTGTCTTTTCTCTCTTTTTTTTATATACCTAGCTCTTAGCACCGTGTCTGGCACACAGTAGATGCTTAAAAATATTTATTGATTAATATTAATGAAATTATAGCTTATCTGAAGCTTTCAGGATATACCTAGGGATGTGAGGAGGTCTATTTCTGAGCACATCTGTATATGTGGATATTAATGTGGATATTTTGCGAGGTTTTCTCTGTAAATGAATATCCTTTATTGTCAGCGTTTGAAATCATGAATGTCTTAGTGAGGTGTGTGTCTAGACATGAAGGAGAAAAATAAAAATAAATTGCATTTATGTGAAGGTTTACTTTAAAAAAAAAAGAAATTAAACTCTTACTATGAATTGGTGTGAATTTCTTACATTGTCCTGAGTCACCCAGCATACCACGCTGAGGATGACTGACTGATTCAGGGTCAGTTCAAATACTTTTGGAGGGATATGAAGTACTAGGGAAGGTATAGAAAAGGGAGGACAATGAAGATCTATACCTTGTACTTAACCTTTAAATGGAGGGAACAAAGAGGAGATTCAGAGCAATAGCTCAACATCAAGGCAAAGAAAGAAGAAAGAACATGCAGAGATATGGACTCGGATCTCCAGAGGGGGGAGGCCTGTATATCTGCAAGGCCAGGAACTGCAGGAACTTGAGGCAGAAGTGCAGAGAAGATTTCCTCAATCAAATGGAAGATTTCCTGGATTATACAGAAGTTAGGAGTCATGGAGCAACAAGGGACAGAATCATGATGGAGAGGAGAAAATTCAGATTTTTTTTCCCTTTAGAGGTACATATGGTCTATGGAGATCCAGGAACTCTTTAGAAAGAAGGATCCTAGGGGCAGCTAGGTGGCACAGTGGATTGAGCACTGGCCCTGGAGTCAGGAGGACCTGAGTTCAAATCCGGCCTCAGACACATAATGCTCACTAGCTGTGTGACCCTGGGCAAGTCACTTAACCCCATTGCCTAGCCAAACAAAACAAAACAAAAAAACCCCAACAACACCAAAAAAAACCAGACAGCAACTATGTAGTATTTTAGGGGCAGCTAGGTGGTGCAGTGGATAGAACACCAGCTCTGGAGTCAAGAGGACCTGAGTTCAAATCCAGCCTCAGACACATAAAAAAAAAGCCTCACTAGCTGTATGACTTTGGGCAAGTCACTTAATCCCAATTGTCTCACTGAAAAAAAAAAAAGAAAAGAAAGAAAAAAAAAGAAAGAGGGATCCTTAACCCCAGGGAAACCTAGACACAAGCCAAATTTTATTATTCCCAGAAGAAAATCTGAGGGAAGGAAAAAGAAGTGTGATGGTGAGAAGACCCCAAGACTGAACCTGTTTCACATAAGGCTAGACTGTGGTTCTAAGCCATAGTTTACACTGACAAACTATATTGGATTTTTACAGCTTGTGTCCTGAAGTCTATTCTCTTTTTAGTTTCACCCATATTGCTTGGATGACAGCTATGAAGGCAGTGAAAAAAAAAAAAGCTTGTGGTTATTTAGAGAGAAGAAAACGCCAAAATCTGACACATGGCCAAGAATGATATAAAGAATATAAAGAATGATAATCACTCAATCTCCATCTCCATTGAGAATAAGAGCTAATGGGCTTGAGCTGCAGCAGGACTATTTATATTAAATATAACTTGGGATAAAGCCTATGATAAATTCATTTTTTGTCTTTGTACTCCTACTGCCTAGCACAGTGGCTGATGTTTAACAGGCACTTAATCAATGGAATAACTAGACTTCCTCTTCTAAGGAATCCTTTATCCCTACCACCCACACCATCAGTGTGCTGCACACTGTGTTTTCTTCTCACCTTTTCCATTAGACTGTGCATCTTCTCAACTTCAGTTTCAAGTTGTTTAATCCTTCCATCTCGTTGTTCCACTTCATTTGTTAAACGTTCCTTGGCTTTCTGAAGCTTGACTTTATGGTGATGGTGTTTCTCATTAAAATTTCTGTGGTATTAAACACAAGTGTATAACTACAATACAATGTCAGGATCTACCTTGCCCTCTCAACCCATCTCCTTGATTGGCCTTTCTGATCTTTCTGTCCTGGAGATCTTGTCAGTACCTGGAGGTACTGACCTTTGGCTTTCCTTACATCTGCCCCCAAAGGGTATGAGGAATTGAACTATTGGTATTTCTCATAAAAGGAGACTGAAAGTTCGAGCACTTTGTTAGTTCAAAGCTTCCCTGGGGATGGGCCATTATAAAGAATCTCTGATTTCTACCACTTACTTCAACCCTTGCTTTGATGTAGGCCTAGTTAGGTAACTCTCATCTACTACTTCTGAGTGATGTCACTTAACCTCTTTGTGCCTCAGTTTCCTCATTTATAAAATAAGGGAGTGGGACAAGATGACCTCTAAAGTGCCTTCCAATTCTAAATCCAAAATCTTATAATATTATAAAAGTAGTTCAGGGTAAATTTGCATAACCTGGAAGAGGAAGAATGAAAACAAATGAGATACTGAAGTCTCCTGCCACTATTGTGTTACTGTCCATGTCTTCTTGAAATTCAGATGAATTTGGATGCTAAGGCATTATAATATATGATATGATATAATATGATGTAATACAATATAATAAAGTTTATTACTGATACTGGTTTGTTGTCTATGATTCCTTTAAGTATAATACAGTTTCCTTGTTTCTTTCCTTCTATTTTTTGAATGTTTGTTTTTGCTTTGTCAGCATGATTGCCACGTCTGCTTTTTTGGATTCACTTGATGTATAGTAAATGTTTTCCCATCCCCTCAGTTTTATTTTGTGTCTTTGTTTTTTAAATATGTTTCTTGTATGCAACAGATTGTAGGGCTTCATTTTCTTATCCAGTCTGTCATTTTCCCCCACTTTATTGGATTGTTTAATCCATTCACAGTTAAAGTTATAAGAATTAGGTTTATATTTGAGGAAAAACAAATGGAAAGAGAGTGGGAGTGCCTATCTAAACTCCCAAAAGACTGAGTGGGACCTGCTGACTAGGTGTGGGCACACTGTCCAGCTGCTTAGGAGGGAGGAGATAAAAAGGACAGACTCATTGTGAGCCAAACCAGAATGGAAGATTCAGACGTGCGGAAATCCAAGAGTCATTCCCACAGGCACTGGAGAAGACACTTTGTATGATAGATGGCATTGTGATTGGGACTCAGATGTTCAGTAACAGAAGGTATAGATAGACTGGACTGATTCTGGCTTCAGAGGCATGGAAGAGAGTCTGGTATTATCGATAGGCCTGCTGTACAACACCTAGACCTTAGAAGTAACTCGAACCAGTTTCTGGGGAGTAGTGACTAGAGCAGAGACCAGCAAAACAAAACAAAACAAAGCAAAAAAAAAATGTAATTCAGTAGGAAGATAGAGAGGTGAAAAGCTTCTAGCAAATAAGAAATATGGTACCCACAGGGAATAGAGCTATTGGCAAAAAAAAAAAAAGCTGTAGCAGAGCTCTAACATGGAGGAATGAACCTAGGTTCTTCCCTTTTATACTAGCTAGCTAGGATTTATATTGCGCTTTAAGATTTGCAAAACACTTTACAAAGGTTATCTCATTTGATCTTCACAATAACTCTGTCAGACACTATTGGGCCCATTTTACAGAAGAGGAGACTGAAACAAACAAGGTCACACAGCTAGTCAATGTCAGAAGCCAGATTTCAACTGAACTGAGGCCTGGCACGCTATCCCCTGAAAAACATCAAAAGACCCACCAAATTCAGTCAATATGTACTTTGATAATTGATTATTTTTGTGCAAGGGTGGGCAATAGGTGAATGAAGTGAAAAATGTTAGAAAATATGAGAGAGCAAGGCCAAAGTCTTATAAATTGCAATAGCTTCACACCTACATGATAAATATTTGTCAATAAAAGAATTATTGATTGTGGCAAATATCAAGTAACATTACAAAAAGATTTAAGAGGCCTGTGGCCTGGGACAGTAGGGACTAGTCAAGACAGAATTCCCTCTATATCCTAGGCCCCACAATGGGAAAAAGTGGCTTACCTAGAAGGTAGGCCATCATCGCTACATCTCTCATCATTCACCAAGAAGTATTAGCTTTTAAAAGCTAAATGCAGTTTCCATTTACTTTTAATTTAACATGTGAGACCAAGACATTTTCATTTACATGGTGGGGGGTGGGGGAAGGGAAGGTATTCTGGTCAGGAAGATGAAGGCATCTAGTTACCCTAAGCACCTAAATACATATAGACTAAGAATGCTGCTTACTTTGCGCACAAGAAAGATGTCTAAACAAACTCAAAACCTAACATTGATATATGTTATCTTAATCCCTTCTATCAGAGATGATTTGTAGGTGAAAGGGTACTGAGGCCACAAGCTAGGCCATGGCTGTTCTACCTTTACACATCACTAAGGGTGTGCTGGGAAATCAGTGTTGCTGGGAAGGGGAAAAAAAGTTCTAGTATAAAGTTTAAGAAGAAGCTTTAATCTTTCTTCTTTGGTGTTTTAACAACCTAATGCCACCAACAGCTATGAACGGACACTATAAAGAGTTGCTAGACCAACGTATGTAGGCAGGGATAAGGAAGAAAGGATTGTGGAGCTTTGTGGAGAGCCAAGTGCCCTTGGATGAAACTGGCAGCACAAGTATAATGCTGGGGAAGCCTGGATCTGCACAATGACCAAGTCATCTTTCTTGAAGAAGCCACAGGCTTTTATAGCTTCCATACCAAAGTTAACTTTGAATTCCACATCTTCAGCCTGTGACTCATGGATGGGCTCTCCACATATCACAGAAAGATAGCCCAGTATGGATGAACCTGGGGTGCTACCTGATCTCTGAGTCACAGCAGTGATGGAAGTCTAAGGATGGTACCTTGCTACCTGAAGAGCAGAACTTCCAGACTTGATGAGGATATTAATAACCCCACTGTAACACTTGAAGGACGCTTCCATGGCATGCATAGCAGCAGCATCAATGGGACTTTTTGTCAAAAAAGGCCAGTGGTGAAGCTCCACAAATAGCTGAGTAAAAGATGGAAGCCTCTGCCTCCCAGGTAAGAAGTGTTGCATTCTCATAGCCTTCACTTGGTAGTCTTCTTTGGCAATCTCCCAAGACAGAATAATGCAATCAGTTCCATCACGGACAAATCACTGCTCTTAGGGTATATGGGGTGTGGCTTATTACTCATGCTATCTAGTATCTGAGTGGCCCAAATAGCAGATTTCTCAACGTAATTACACATTTTAATGACTATAGTATGAGCAAGAAAGACATTTGCTGTGAGGATCACAGTATCCAGGTCTCCAGAGCCTTTAATGCCATCACGGTACCATCACTGGCTTCCAGTATCTCATCACATCTTTGGACTTCCTTCATGGCTTTCAATCTTGCTGATGATAGTGATGTTCTTTCTGCACTCTCCAAGGACCTTTATGACAACGGTTGCCTTTCAAAGGAAAGATTTAAACACCATGTCCACATCTATTCTGCTCCACAGTATAAATCTTTCACCTCCTCCTCAGAAAGTTGCAGGCAAGTCTGCACTTGCTGCAGGAGGGCTCACATCCTTCTTACTGCCCCAAATGCTACCATTCTCCACCTCAGTTACGAGGAAATCAAAAATAGAGGAATGAACCCATTATCCACAAAGATTTTCTGCCAACTTTCACCACTCTGTAAATGTTTTGAAGACTCCTCATGCAATACTGTCATCGCACGTCACCGTGTATACATTGTTCATGCTGATCTTTAGGGTCCTGTCCTCTTCCACTCCACTTCAGCTGTGCCACTGCCCCTAATGAGTCAGTATCTAGTCCTTTGGTTCTCAGTGCTTTAGCCATAAGCTGGTAAAGAATAGCTTTAGAAATGAAATTCTCTGTGGCTTTTTGTACATTTGCAATGATCTCTGTATAGTACTCACGATTTTTATGGGAAACGTTTAGACAAACAACATGCATTCTAGCTTTAATCACCTCTTTTAACATTTCCACAGAAGGGGATTCTGGGCCTATTATACATGCGACATCAGTGTTTTGGACATGGATGGGCTCTAAGTTGATGTCCAGATGACATATGTGCTCCAAGGAAAGTGTCCACCATGGCAGTATTGTAGTTCCTGGTTCCTGCTTTAATGGGTGACTTTGCCATGGTGACAATTCTTTCATTTTCTGCCTTTTTCTTAGTGCCTTTTGTCTCATTTAAAATTATTGGAAAGAACACCTTGAAGGATAGAATGCCCTCTCTCTCTCTCTCTCTCTCTCTCTCTCTCTCCTCTCTCTCTCTCTCTCTCTCTCTCTCTCTCTTTTGTGGGGGGCAGGAAGCAATCGGGGTTAAGTGACTTGCCCAGAGTCACACAAGCTAGCAAGTGTGTGTCTAAAGCTGGATTTGAACTCAGGTCCTCTTGACTCCAGGGCCGGTGCTCTATCCACTGAGTCACCTAGCACCCCCTAGAATGCCCTCTTTATGTATCATTCCTCTGATTACAATTTAAAAGACAGGAAATGATTCATTAGAGTGGATCATTCTTAAATCAGCTCTGACAGCAAAAAAAAAAATCAAAATTAATACAAAACTGGAATAAAGGATAAAAATGAGAAAAGTTTATGACATGAAATTAAGATAATTTCTATATGACCTATTCAAACAAATAATTGATGCTAGAAAGTGGGAAATGAATGGAGGAAAGGATATAAATACTGATTATAACAATTTCCTATAGAAGTTTAATCAATGTAAATAAATACAATGTAAATAAATGAGGGTGTCAAAAAAGCCTAAAAACTGCCTAAGTGAAGAAATACTTAATCTCCTTGCTAAATAGAAAACCTTAGCAACCAAGGGCAATGTCAGCTTAGAATTGATTAATTTGTTAAACGTAAGCAAACTGTTTCATAAAACAGAGGGGAAAATAGGAAGATAAAAAAGTTCAAAGGAAGCATGGTAGCTCTGAAAGTACTTAAAGATGAAATCAGAAGTAGGACACCAAAAGAAAAATGGAAAAGATAAAGATTTTTATAACAAAGTCTCTTCATCACCCAGAACTGTGTGGCTACAACATTTGCACCCTAATGAACCTCACAATCACGAATCTGCTGGTGCTGCTTGAAGAAGGGAAATTGGTACAGAAGAAAACAAAAAAGAGAAAAGCAACTGGATGCAAGGCCAACTCTGTACAAGAGGCCCATGCTGTAAATGATACAATGTTGAAGGTGTTGAGGGCTTGATTCTCACAGTATCTGTGGTGAGAGAAGATAACAATGTGGAAAAACTCTTATACCTTATTATTACCCATCCCCCCCAAAAAGAAGTTCAACAGATGGGAAGACACAAATACCAATGCATTGCTGGTAGAGCTGTGAATTAGACCAACTGTTTTGGATTTCCGTTTGGAATTTTATAAGAAAAGTAATTAAATGGTTTAGACTCTTTGACCTCAAAGAAATGAAACAGAAAACAGGGGTCTAATATATACCCAAATATTCATAGCAGCAATTTGTGGTGGCAAGGAACTGGAATAAATGTGTGTCTGTCAGCTAAGAAATGGCTGAAAAAAACTATTAATGTTTAGCAAAAAAAAAAAAGACAAATGTGAGGAATTCAGAGAAAATTTATATGAACATTTGCAGAGCAAAATTAGAATCAAGAGAATGAAAAATACACAATAAATACAATGATGTGAATGAAAAGATTACTAAAAGGAAATTGAATTCCCTCATGCAACTTCGTTTTGAAGTAATGGAAAAGCCATTAAATTCCCAGAGAGGAAGTAATGAAATTCCCTCACGGAATGTGGGAGACTACAAAGACATATTATTGAGTATGATGTCAGATACGGTTCTGTACCAGATGTTTTTGTTTAACTGGTTTTCTTCGTCACAAGAGAGGGTTCAAATCTGGGTGCAAAGTCCGGAAATGACTATGTTGCAAAGATAAAAGACATCAATAAAGTGTCTTTTTAAAAAAGGCAACTGACAGAACTTCAATAACTACTGCATCAAGTCATACCTATTTTCTCACCTCTCTAAATGTAATGGGGTCTGGGGCATTTGCAGACATGATCAGTTTGCTGCAATGGTGTCATTTATGTGGAAGACATTAGGGAGCTGTTTCTGGGAGAATTGTGAGGACTGGAAGATGTATGGATATTCTACAACTCACACGTGTTGTGAGGATCAAAGAATCAAATCAAATATTTATGAGGAGCTTTCTTTGCACTGTGCCTCACATATAACAGGTGATTAATAAATGCTTGCTTTCTTCCTTTTCCAGATACCATCCATGCCTGTTCCAATCTCTCCAAGGCATTTCCCTTGCATAACATCAAGATTTGCTTAGAAGCAGTTCCCCACTACCCTAGAGATGCATGTCAGCAAGCTGATGAGGGTCTACTGATACGACAGACACTCATTACATAAAATTTTGTGAAAATAACTTATATATACATGAAGGGCATCCTTTATGAGTATACTAGAAAGGAAAAGTGATATTCCGCAGTGGATGACATTTTTACCATCTAAAAATAAACTGAAAGAGAGAATACAAGTTCCCACTATGCTTACTGTTTGCCAACTATGAAAAGATATTTAGTAGAGTAAAATGACACCTTAAAAACTCCTCTCCAATAAGGTGTCTCCTATATATGTCAAAAGTAGGTAAGATTCCCAGAAAGATATAATAGTAACAGTAATGATAATATTAATAGCTGACATTTGTGTAATGCTTTAAGGCTTGAAATGAATATTATATACGCTATTTCACATGATCAGCAACAGAAACAATTATACGACAACTTTCTGATTCTTACTAAAAATGAGGCATACAACAGGGAGACGTACGCCTGCCAAAGGTGTTTCCCACTAGCATGCAGAAGAGCCAATGCGGAGGCAAAGTTGAACAGGAACCCTTCTCCTAGAGATGGTGAGTTTAGTTTATCCTGTTAGATGCTCTTGTTTGTGAATGACATTACACTGGCTGCATCAGACCCTGGAACATTGCTGAAAATCCTAACGAGAGCCCACATACAGTAGTTTGGCTTAACCAAGGAAGGAAAAAAAACAAGTGGATAAAGAATGCCAATCATCCAAACTATCGTGTACAGCTGGACACACAACCTTGAGGGCACATTTCTCTCTCTAGCTATATATCCATATGTATATGTCTCTATAGACTTAGAACTTTATATTCACACTTAGAACAATGATCCTGGGCCAAACACTGAAGAGGAGGAGAGCAGTGTGTTGAATTGCCTCCCTGGGAAAGTGTAAAGTTTTTCTAATGACCTCAAGTTTTAAATAACATGATTCTTCCTCGGAATACCGGTCATAGAATAAAGGGCAACAAAGTTGCAGAGAAGGTGTGAACTGTATATATGTAACATATTACAAAAAGGAATTACACAGAAGCAGAGTAAATGATCAAAGAAATGTGTGACTGGAAAAAAAAAAGATAGACTGGTCATGTAGTAAAATGAGAGATCACTTAGATAGCCTCCATTCTCCACTGATATTCATGCGGTGCTAAGAGAAGCTGAGGAAGGCCCCCTGTGGCAAACTTATAGAAAGACCTATACAAGAGTTAAAGACAACCATGGATGAGGTGTGATCTCCAATGTTGGGAGGAATACCCCCCATGATGAAACCAGAGATCCCCTGGAGTAGGGGAGTACAGTAGGTTAGGATGGCCAAAAAGCAGAGAGAAGATTCTTCTGACCCAGAAAGGAATAAAAACTCGAAGCCCTGGAAGGGGCTCTGCCCAGATGCTGGGAAAGGTAAAAAGGAGACCATATTTCTAGCTGAGGAGACAAGCAGAGAATGGTTAGTGTTTGAAATAATTACCCACAGAGTCTAAATGGAGTCAGGAAGAGTTCCTGCCCTAGAGAAAAACAGACAGTAGTGAGGGAAAAGTGCCAAGGGGCAAACACATAAATATTGGGTGAAGTTTGGATAGAGGTGAGCCAGGGAAGCACCAGCTCTCAGATCTGACAATCTGAATGCCCAGTAACAGCTTTTAATCATATATTAGAAGGGCTATATATCCCATCTTGTTTAACCCAAAGTAATTATTCTATGAATTGGATTTAACATATATCTGCTTTCTGGGTGAATTATGATTCTGTATTTATTACTGGCATTACTATTAACGCTACTACTACTTAGCAATTTCCTTACCTGTAAAATAATGGGATCTCATGAGATGTATTTATAATAATACCTTACATTTATATAGTGCTTTACAGTTTTAAAATCTCTTTTGATCCGATCTTCATAATAACTTTGTGAAACAGATAACGTATTATTATTCACATTTCATAGATAAAAGAAAACAGAGGCAAAATGACTTGCAACTAAGAAGTGAGGGAACCTGGACACGAACTCAGGTCTTCTGACTTCTAGTGTAGTGGATCATCTTTACATTGCATCCTGCGGTCTCTTATTTACCTCATAAGGACATCAAGCTGCTTCAAAAATTGTCCATATTCTTCTTTTAAAGAATCCCTCTCTTTTTGTAACACAAATAGCTTCTCCAATAGTTCCTGATGGTTCTTAACTTGCTGGAAAACAGAAGAATTTTGTACAAAGAAATTCAAAAAGTTATTTGGTAAAAAGTAATCCTAATGGTCACTTACACAGACTATTAAGATATTTAAATGATAAACTAAACTACAGAGAGGAAGCACCGAGGAAAAGGGGAACAATATCAAACCATGGCCAACAGGGCTCATTTAAAATCAGTTATGTAGCCACAGAGAGAAGGAAGAAATGAATGTGGTATAGCAGACAGGATATAGGTATCTGGTGAGACTATCTATATCTATATCTATCAATACATATATATATAGAAGTGTGGAGGAGTTAAAAAAAAAGATAAGGGAGGCTCTGCTGGGAGAGGACAGAAGACAAAGGACCTTGAACTGGACACAAAAGGGGAATCAAGGGAAATCATGTGCTCCCCCCAAAGCACCCCTCTGTCCCTGGCCAAGTTCCCAATATCACAATTTATGACCTTTCCCAGGAATCCACTATTTCATCAATGTAGGTGTTCCCTCAATCCACACAGATCACAACCTCTTTACATCTTAATTGATGGTTTTTGCAAGTTACTGTGATTCAAAATTCATCACCACTTTTTTGGGTGATGGGCCTCTCTGAACTAAGCTGGGCCAGTTGTTGGATAAGAAACACTACTGGGAAACCCTTCCAATTCAGTAGGATCTGCCAGAGCTTGTATTCCACTGGCACAGCCTTTGAGAGTTACCTCTGCACCATGATAAGGCAATGGAGGAAGAGACTGCAATGGACTCATTCACTCTATAAGAAAAATACTTCAGAGGGAATGTCCCATTGCCAAGGGACTAGCGACACCATTTTTATGTGTGACAGTACATAATTACTTGCAAAATATTGGCTAGATGTTGGATATGATGTAATGGAAGATGTTATTACTCTTCTATTGCTTTCCAGACTTCATCAAATAGTTTGAGTCTTCAAGAAATGCAAACGCAAGGACGGGCATTCTCTTTTTAATCTTACCTCATCATATCTTTTCTTTTCATCTTCTAATTTTTGAAGTTGGACCTCTTGTTGTTCAATCTTAAATTGTTGCTTACAATTAGACTGTTCCATAAGAGTCTCTTTAGCGTGTAAATATTGTATGTGTTGTTGTAGTTCATCTACATTGTGATCTAGTAGTTTCCTGTAGGCAGGTTAAAGCACTATGATGATGACAAAGCAACTATGACCATATACCTCATTCACAGACATGGAGCACAGGTATCTAGAGTGGACAAATAGGTTTTCCATTCCCCCAAAATGAGTCCCATAGCAATATTTGTGAGAGACTTGTAGCTGGCTAATGAGCCTGCTTCTACTCTACCTCTCCAGTGCCTCTGCTTATCTTTGCAAGTAGCAGGTTTATAAATACAATGTACTGCTTTGGTTCCCTCCCATCTCTATTCCTCCTCCCTCTGTGCTTTGTTGTTATTGAGTCATTTTCAGTCATGCCTGATTCTTCGTGACCCATTTGGGGTTTTCTTGTTAAACACACTGGAGAGGTTTGCCATGTCCTTTTCCAGCTCATTTCACAGATGAGGAACTGAGGCAATCAGGGTTAAGTTATTGCCCAGGGTCACACAACTAGTGTCTGAAGCCAGATTTTAACTTATAAAGATAAGTCTTCCTTAATCCTGGCCTAGCACTCTATCCAGCGGGCTACCTAACTGCCCAAACTTGAACAATTCTCTGCTACTACTGGCTCCTTCTTCCACGTGGTTTTATTCCTATTTTCTGGCAAAGAGAGCAAGTCTAAGATTTTGGTCTGTGTTAAATTGCAAGTTGGTGACCTATATGCTAACTATATCAAATACAACACTCAATGAAAACTCATACATTTTGAGTTATAACCAAAGAACACTTCAGAAAATAATTGATATATAACGTGCTGATGGGCCATAATAAGCAATGACCAAATTCTGGTCCATAAATCAGAAGTTATACTATTTTATAAAAATAATAGAGCAGCAGAACTTCCTGGCACGATCTGCTCCATTTGCTTGAATCATAAAAACCTACATGAAAATATGTTTATTTTTGTCAGAGGAATTTAATAAAGTATGACAACCGTTGAAAATGCAAGGAAGCCAATCATCATAACAGCAACTGGTCTAGAACTGAGCATTCTGTAGGACCCAGGCAGAGGCGTGCTAGAGTGAGAGCTGATTGGTAAACTTTCAGTGTGAGCATTTACACCTTGGAAATCAACAAAAGCTACAAATCAGGGTTTGATTTAGTTTCTCTGATTTTCTGCAATTAAAAAAAAGTGATGGAGAAAATGTTAATAGTGAAGATTAAACTTAGAAGTGCGTCATGTATACTTTTGGTCCTCAGTCAGCCAATTATTTCTTAAACATTTACTTGCACACCTCTAGACCAAAGATCTATTCTACGGGATCAACATTTTAGAAAGCAGCAGGCCCAGATGCACGTCATCATCATTCTCTCCCTCGAGCTGAATACTGCAATATCCTTAGCCATTAACATAGCTTAGTACAATAACATTTGTAGAGTGATTGAGATGGTCTAAAGGACAATGAGCCCCTTTCAAGGAAAACCTTGGACACACACAAAGCATCACGGATAACATGAATGTTGCTTTATACATGTTTGGGAGATTACTGTCTCATATGTTGTTCAGTCATTTCAGTCTGATTCTTCACGGCTCCCTTTGGGGTCTTCTTGGCAAAGACAACCAGAGTGGTTTGTCACTTCCTTCTCCAGTTCATTGTACAGATGAGAAAACTGAGGCAAACAGGGTTAAGTGACTTGTGTAGGGTCACACATCCAGCAAATATCTGAGGTCAAATTTGAACTCAGGTCTTCCTGACTCCAGGCCTAGCGCATTATCCACTATGCCACCTAGTTGCCCACTATTTCATATACTATCACAGTCTGTAGACAACGGGTCTAAGATTAAAGGGACTATATAATTACAAACAATTTCAAATATTCTAACAAACGACTTATAAGCATTACTCATATACTAAGAGCCACCCCAGGTGGGTTAGCTACAGAAAATCCTCTAATCTCTCAATGAATAATGCCTTCCTACCACCCCTAATTCTTCCCATACACATGCTTGCCAGAGATAACTTGTATTTCCATTCTTTCTACCACTAACTCTCACCAGAGAGCTATCCTATTTCCTGTAATCTCCCATACTCTTTCATTAACAATCACATCTCATAGACTCTTTTTTGATTATCTCTGCTTCTCCCCATTCTCCACCAAGGCAAGACCATGTCACCATTCCTAATCACTTCTATCCCCACTCACAACCTTTGGGAGCTTCCACCAGGATACTCACCTCCCACCTCATGGCTCTGGTTGTCCTTCTTTCTGACCCTAGCACGTGAGTTGAGGCAAATATTTCCCAATGACCTCTGACGGTAGCGGAAGAGACTGAGGCTAAAGGAAGAGGGATTCTCTTCTAAAGACTGTGACTGCAGCAGGGATAGAGATGTGTTCCTGGTATTCAAAGTTCCCAGATGAACGCATTCACCCATAAAAATTAAAAGAAATTATAATCGCTATTGCTATAGTTCAGTTACATTTGGGTTAAATGGGCCTCTGTGGTGGCATTTAGGAAGCATACCCCACTTTACAATACCATTTCTGTGTAAAAAAAAAGTATTCCAAGTTTCATACAATTAAGTTATAATGAATGTGTGGAGTATTGGCCCAGTTAGAAAGTTAGGGATGGTCCATAAGTCTTTCTAATGTTATGTTAATAGTACCAGACAGCTATTTCCTAGTACGTAATCTCTCCTCCCATAGAAAATGACAATTGTGGTTCCTATTACCTCTTCTGTTGTTCTTCTTGATACTGCATTTTTAGTTTGGCCTCATTTTTTCTTGCTTCTTTTACCGCTTCTTCAAGCTGCTTTTTATCTAAAATGCAAGTTTTTGTACAAGACTCATTTGCAGCTTCTAATTTCTCCTGGAGTTCCAAGACCTTGAGTAGAAAATGATGAGAAAGTAACACTCAGAAGATTGCAAGCTGCTTTTTAATCAGACAAATACTAGACAAACTCCGAAACAAACAGTATTGTTGTACACTTCAGCCTAATGTCAAGCGTAGCTTGAAATCCAGAAATAAGATCAGAATTCTCTACACTCTGCACTGATGAGAAAGCATTTGGCAGGAATGGGGAGATGAGCTGTGGTGTATTAATGCAACTGGAATATGACTGCATTGTAAGAAATGACAAGTAGGACAGTTTCAGAGAAGCCTGAGAAATCTTATATGAGCTGATGCAAAGTGAAGTGAGAAGAACCAGGAGAACATTGTACACAGTAACATCAATATTGTAACGAGGATCAACTGTGAAAGACTTAGCTACTCAATGATCCATGACAATTCCAAAGGACTTATGATGAAAAATGCTATCCAACTCCAGAGGGGGAACTGATAAAACTCTGCAGATGGAGGCATATTGATCTTCACTTTATTTTTTTCTTGCTTTTTATTTTTCATAACATGTCTAATATGGAAATATGTTTTATATGAGTTAATATGTATAATGGGTATCACTTCTTGCCTTCTTAATAGGTGGAAGAGGGGGTGGAGAGATGGAGAGCATTGGGAATTGAAAATAAAATATTTTAAAAACCCTTCAAAGTGTCCATATTCTAGTAAAAAAAACCAAGAAGAAATATTTAACAAAATAAAGAAAAATACAATAAAACACTTTAAAAAAGAAGATATTTGGTACTGTCTTAAATCAGGTACCAGCAATTCCTACTCTAGATGTCACGGATGTTTTGAAGACTGACTACAATGTCTATGAAATACTTTTTATTAATTTTGCTATAAAACCTTTATTTGATGAACATGTACAAGTCTAGGTGTGATATCAGTTATTGGTAAGAAAGAGATAACTAATTGCATCTTGGGGTTTAAATAATAATATTAATATTAGTTAATAACGATAACATGATAGATCACTTTGAGGTTTGTAAAACAATTTGTTCATACTTGCTCATTTTTTTCTCACAACAGCCCTACCAGGTAGGTGTCATTTTTATCCCCATTATATATCTGTGGAAACTGAGGCTAAAAGAGGGAGATTCTTTTCCCAGGAATACATAGCTTTAAGTGTGGGAAGTAGGGTTTGAATCAAAGTCTTCCTGCTTTTATGCCTGGTACTACATCCACTCTACCATCTACTTACCTTTAAATGTTGCTGCAAGCAACACTGCTCCGCTTCTTTTTCTCTTCTTCTCTCTCTACCTGCTGGCTGCCAATCTCATCCTTCAAACAAACTGCTCTCTCCGAAGTGACTAATAGTCTCTTAACTGCTACATCTGCTGACCCTTTCTCACCCTCATCCTTCTTCACCCCTCTGCAGCCTCTGACACTGTTCTCTTTAGGTTTTCGTGATGCTGCTCTCTCCTGGTTTTTCTTCTGCCTATCTGACTGCTCCTCCTCTGTTGCTTTATTGGATCTTTGTCGTCACTCTTGAGGGTGGATGTCCCCCAGGGCTCTGTCTTGGGCCCGTCTCTTTTTCTTTTGACATACTACTTAATTTCACTGGCTCCCATGGTTTCAATCATCATTTCTATGCACATCACTCTCAGCTATACTTGTCTAGCCCTAACTTCTCTCCTGGGCAGCCAGGTGGCGCCATAGTGCACAGAGTGCTGGCCCTGGAGGCAAGAAAACTCATCTTCCCGAGTCCAAGTCTGGCCTCAGACACTTAATAGCTGTGTGACCCTGGGCAAGTCACTTAACCCCGATTGCCTCAGTTCTTCATCTGTAAAATGGCAAACGACTCCAGTATCTTCACCAAGAAAACCCCAAAAGGGGTCATAAAGAGTCGGACACGACTGATACAACTGAACAACAACAACGACAACAACATCTCTCCTGACCTCCGGTGTTACATCTCCAGCTGTCTTCTAGACACGGTCAGCTCGCTCCTCAGTAACCCCCAGTCCTGCTTAGCTTTCCAAGCCCTTCCTAACCTGTCCCGTCCCAGCCTGCTGCACTCCTTCAGACTGCCCCAGCCAACCTCCCTCAGGCTCACAGGGCCTCTGCAGTTTCCTCAGCACTCTCACCTCCTGATGGAGCAGGCCAGCCACGTCTTTCTTTCCCATCAAGCTGCACTCCCTTTTGAGGGTGGTCTCCCCCACTAGACTGTAGTTTCCTCAAGGGCATTTGTATCCCCAGCACTTAGCGCAGGGCCTGGCAGTAGAAGGCACTTAATAAATGCTTACTAACTGACTGACTCCTTTCGACCTTTCTAGCCTTGTCAGGCCTTCCCCCTCTCCAGGTGCTCTGCAAGCTGGTGACACCGGCCTCCTGCCTGCTCCCTGACTCCCAGCAATGACACTGGCTGTCTCCCATGCCGGGAATGCTCTCTCTCCTCCTCTCCACCTCCAGCTTTCCTGGCTTCCTTTGGGTCTCAGCTAAAGCTCCGCCTTTCCTGATCCTCCTTAATCGTTGTGCCTGCCTTCTCAGATCATCCCCTATTTACATCTTTGTGCATAGTTTTTGTGGTCTCCCCCATTAGACTGTGAGCTTCTTGAGAGCAAGGATTTTTTTTTTCCTTTCTTTGTGTCTCCAGTATTTAGTATGGTGCCTGGCACATAGTAGGTGTCTAGTAAATGCTTGTTGACTGAGTCTATAAATGTTATCTGCTTGATGTTCCATGCTTGCTTAGATCAAGCTGCTCTAAAAAATGTATATATACTTAATATAAATTGTAGAAAATTCATGATGAAGTCTGGGTGGACTTGAGTAGAGAGCTAAACTTTTCAATCTTAGTCAAAGAACTAGTTTCTAATTTGGACCATATTACTGCGGCATACTTCAACCACTTGGAGGTACTATATCTAAATTTTATTATAATTATTTACAATAATAATAGCTGACATTTATATAGAATATTGAGGTTTGCAAAGACTCTTACACACATCATTTTATTTGATCTTCAACAGCTTTGTGGGTATTATTTTTCCCACTTAGCTAGTAAATGTTTGAGGCGAGATTAAAGCCCTGGATGCTTCTCACATTTACCTAGTACTTGCCTAACAACCAGCTCTGTGATAGAGGTGGTGAGAATTTCAGATGAATAAATCAATTTGCCCAAGGTCACACAGCTCCTAAGGATTGGGCTAGGACCTGAACTCAAGGCTCCTTTCACTCTCAGTCTGGTGGCTGACTACAACACGCTTAAAAATATACTTTTCAAAGTGAAAGTACAAAACAAGACATACACAAGGAAAGCCTGACTCTTTAATCTGTCAGATGGTAGACACACTAGACTTACTTTACTGAGCCAATTGGGGCAGAACTAGGAGCAGTGGAAAGGAGAAAGTTGAGGCTTGAGGCAGGGAAAACCTCCTGACAATTACACCTAACTACATGGACTGCCTTGGCATGGTAGACTCTTCCACATCCAAGTTCTTCAAGGAGAGGCTACAATCACTTGTCCAGTGTGTTGAAGAGGGGACTTCTTTTTCATGTATGAGCTAGACAAGATGGCAACTGAGGGCCCTTCCAACTATGACATTCTGTGATCCTATGAAGGTCACATTGTAGCTTTAATAGATCCTACCCTTTTAAATTGACACTATTGGAGGGGGGGAGGGGAAGGAAAACCCAGAATCTAGAAGTTGTGGAGTATGGGGAAATGAAGAAGAGGTCAGATCCTAAGTATTTTTCTTGCAAATACCCAGAATTCATTCAAGTTGTGATTATGAACATAATTACTGCAGTCTTGGGAAAGAGGATTTCAGTGATAGTTTCCAGGCCTAGTAACTGAAAAAAGCCAAATGTAAATGGTTATAATTACCTTTTTCTCTGCATAAGCCACTCTGGTTTTCTCTTGAGCAAGTTTTTCATATAAATTGCTTTGTGATTGAATATTCTCAGATTGCTTAAGCATTTCTTGTTCAAGCTCTCTTACTTTCTGCTGACTACTTTCCCAGTCTGCCGTGATGGAAGAACACATACTTGTGCTATCTAGTAGTTTCTTCTGGGCCTGCTTCAATTCAGCTTTGATCTAGAATTGGGGAATAAAAATGACAATCTTAGGATAGACCACATTAAAGCATCCCAAGAAAAATCTATCTTTTCTCAGGTAACTGAGAAAAAAAAATCTTTGCAAAAAGTTTCTTTGATAAAGGTCTCATATCCAAGATACATAGGGAACTGATTCAAATTTATAAAAACAAGAGCCATCCACTTACAAGTAAGTGGTGAAAGGATATGAACAGTTTTCCAAACAAAACATCCAAGCAGTCAACAAGTATATTAAAAATGCTCCAAATTACTAATAATTAGAAAAAAGCAAATGCACACAACTGTGAAATTCTACTACACACCCATCAAATTGGTAAAGTAACACCACAAAAAGCTAATGATAATTACTGGATGTGCTGCAGGTAAAAAGGCATTGCTAATAGAGCTGTGAATTGGTCCAATCATTCTGGAAAGCAATTTGAAACTATGCCTCTGAAGTCATCAACTTGTACCTACCCTTTGACCCAGTGACAGCTGCACAGCCATCACTTTTTCTTTTTTCTTTTTTTCTTTCTTTTGGCTATAGCACAAAGAGCTCAAAGAAAGAGAAAAAGGGACCAATACATACAAAAATATTTCTAAGCAGCTCTCTTTGGTATACCAAAGAGGTGAAAGTTAAGGGCATGCTCATCAACTGAAGAAAGGCTAAACACATATATGAATGTAATGAAACATTTTTGTGCTGTAAGAAATTAAAAAAGAGATGGTTTCAGAGAAACCTGGAAAGACTTATGTGAACTGATGCATGGTAAAGTGAGCAGGACCAGGAAAACAATTTGTACAATAACAACAATACTATAAGACAATTTTGAAAGACCTAAGAAATCTGACAAATGCAATTTTGAAAGTTCTGACAAACTTTGATTCCAGACAACTGGTGAGGAAGCATGCTACCCACCTTCTGACAAAGAAATGATGGACTCAAGTTAACATAACCAGTGTAGGAATTTGTTTTGCTTGATTATACATATTGGGTGGGTTTTTTTTAGATTACATATATTTGCTACAAAGGTTTTATTTCTCTTTTTTTCTCAATTGGGGTGATGGGGTAATAGAGGGGGATAGGAGCTGAGGATAGGGTTTCAAACAAGAAAGAGAAGACAAAGAAAAAAGGGTTTAATACATTAAAACAGATTTTTTGAAATGCATGAAAGAGACAGAAAAAAAGCCAGAAGGAATCACAGATAAGTAGAACAATTTTGAAAGTAACATGTTAAGTTTATTATATATTTTTAAAAAGAAAAACAAGCTGTACATAATAGAAATTTACAACTTTGTTTATAACCCTTTCTTTTTGTTCTATTCTGTAGAAGTACTCATTTCATTTTATTTCATGTTTGTTAAGTTCAGAAATTTTAAAATGAGAAAAAACCCCCAAAAACCTGAACTATCTTTCTTGAATTTAAGCAAAAAAAAAAAAATCCCAGTCTACTCCCTAGTGACATGAACCTTAAGTTTACTTTGCCAGACAGACTAAAGGAAAGATCTGATAATATGTGCAGTGCTCAAAGAATACCAAAGGACAAGACAGAACTAGGAGTTAATTTACCCACGTCTTCTACAAAACAAAGTTGCCTTGAAAGAAATAAACCTCTGAACCACAGTGAAGCTGCTGTCGCTCCATGGCTGACTACACTGCTGTGGGTTTTTTGGGAGTTTCTTTTGTCTCTGTTTGCTTCAATCTCTATGGTTAAAACCCTTGGTTAGCTATTAAAATGTGTGCACTAACTAATACTGGACACAATTTGAAGGAGGATGACTGAGTGAACATCTCGGAGGAAATCTATAACATTGTGAGGTTATCACTATAAATTCAAAGTGCCAGAGTGAGATTCCTGGCCAAGTAGTAAGAGAGACACTAGTTTATTAGAGGGAGAAGAGAGCAAGCCTCAGGATCAGAGTTCTTACACATCTCATATATGTGGAGCAGTAGCTGGGAAAAAGAGCTTTCTTTTCCTTTGTTTGCACTGAAAGCCGGAGATCGTGCCTTTGAAGGGGACTGTGGACTAAAGAAACCTCAGCCACAAAAGAAGGGATGGGGAGTCGAAGTGGAGGAGCATGCCCAATTGTTCCCAATCTCAACAGATGACGGACAGCTCTGCTGGCTATATTCATTGGTGCCACGTGGTGGTTACATACTGAGGATGGAAGAAATAGAATGACCATAAGGACCCAATATGACCCTGTGAAAATAGTTGTAAAAGAAGTTGGTGAGGGAAGCTAAGGACAACAAAAGAGGCAGAGTTTGTTGCTGTTGTTTTTCTTCCTATTTTGGGAGGAAGACAAGGACCCAAGAAAGGATAGAACCCTCTACTTAGGAGCATCTGATGACAACCGACCAGAGAGAGAAGGCAGAGTGCCCAAGTTTTTATTTTGCTTCTCTTTTCTTTACCAAGTATCAGAACAAAAATGGCCAAGGGGAAGTTGATACTCAGGATAAATGGAAATAGTAAGAGAGTGCCTCATTGCCCTTGATGAATTCAAGTCATACAGATCAGATGAACCACATTTTGGGGGGACTCAAAGAATAAAGAAGAGATTCCTAAGCAACTGTCAGCCAGGGTGCATTCTGAACACACTGTCCATGTCCCCAATCCAGAACAGCTTTCTGGGGTCTCAGAGAATCATAATTATTGTCCTTTTTACTTGCTCCCCCAGTGCTATATGAAGTATTAGAACAGTCAATGTTGCACAGATCTTATACAGTCCCAAATATACAAATGAAAATTACAGTTGTTTACAGAATTATGCAGATTTAACAAAGAACATTTTATGAAATTTATCAAAGGTTCCTGCTTAACAAGGGACTGTCCTGATGCATGCAATGGCATTACTTAACCCAAGGGCAGTAAGGAAAAGGCAAAGAAAACCTAGCTTCCTCTCTCAGAAGGAAACCTGGCCAGACAGAGCTTCCCAGATTATGTGAAGCTCTTCCCTAATGGGGGAGGGACTTAGGGTCTGTGGTTGATGAGAAGTCATCTCCTCGCCCTCAGATAAAAAACCAGGATTCCCTCAGTGCACTGGGCCATCCAAATGGGGATTTGGACAAAATTACTAGATGTCTCTTTCTATATAGGATGTACATGGTCTAGTGGGGGAGACAACATGCAAACAACTATGTGCAAATAAGATATAAACAGGATAAATTGGAGGAAATCTCAGAGGGAAGGTACTAAGATTTAGGAAGTTGGAAGACATTTTTTTGCAGTGGTAGGAGATATAGCCAAGATTTGAAGGAAGCCAGGGAAGTTAGGAAGCGGGGTGGGGTGGGGATAAGGAGGGAGAGTGTTCCGGGAAGGGAAAATAATAAGCCAGTGAATAGGCTCAGTCAGGAGAAGCAGTGTTATCCAAGGAACAGCAATGGGGCCAGAGCCACTTGATCACAGAGTACACGGAGAAGTGCAAGGTATGAGAAGACTGGAGAGTTAGGAAGTAGCCAGCTCATAAAGGGCTTCAAATAACAAACAGAGGGTTTATATAGTAGATCCTGGAGGCATTAGGGAGCAACTGGAATCTACTGAAAAGGGCTTTAGATTGATTTAATAACTGAGTAGGGGATAGACTGGAGTAGGGAGACTTGAGGCAGGGAAGCCAAAAAGTAGACTATTGTAATAGTCCAGGAGTGAGGTGAAGAGGCCCTGTACTAGGGCGGAGACATTGTCAGAGGAGAGAAGGGGATGCAGACAAAAGATGTTTCAAAAGTGGAAAGAGGGGCAGCTAGGTGGATAGAGCACCAGCCCTGAAGTCAGGAAGACCTGAGTTCAAATCCGACCTCAGACACATGATTTTCACTAGCTGTGTGACCCTGGGCAAGTCACTTAACCCTGATTGCCTTGCAAAAAAAAGTGGAAAGAAAAGGACTTGACCACTGATTGGATATGGGGGAGGGATGGTAAAAGAGTAAGGAGTTGAGGATGACATCTGGGGTTGTAAGCCTCAGTAGTTGTGAGGATGAAGGCATTCCTGACAGTAATTAGAAAGTTAGGGAGAAAAAAGGGTGTTGAGGGAAAAATATTAGGTTCAGTTTTGGACATGCTGATTTTAAGATGTTTACAGGACATCCAGTTTGAGATGGCTAAAAGGCACTTGGCAATGTAAGACTGGAGGTCAGAAGAGGATTGGGTCTGGACAAATAGATCTGAGAGTTATCTGCATAGAGATGATCAGTGAAACCATGGGAACTAATGAGCTCACCAAATGAAACAGTATAGTAGAAGAGGAGGAAAAGGCACATGATAGAGCCTTCAGGGACGCCCACTCTTATTGGGCATGTCATGGATAAAGATCTAGCAAAGGAAACAGAGAAGAAATGGTCATATAGGAGGGAGAAAAACCAGGAGAGAGTAGTGTCATAAAAAACCCAGAAAGAAGAAAGTATGAAGGAGTGATCATCAGCATCAAAGGTTGCAGAAATGTCAAGAAGGGTAGGCACTGAGAAAAGACCATTAGACTTGACACTTAAGAGATCATTAGTAACTTTAGAGATAGAAATTTCAATTGAATGATGAGATTGAAAGCCAGATTGCAGAAAGTTAAGAGAGTGAAAGTGAAGGAAGTAGGGGTACTCATTGTAGATGGCCTTCTCAAGGAATTTAGCTCCAAAAGGAGGAGAGATATAGCATGATAGCTAGCAGGTATGAATGCATCATGTGAGGGTTTTTTGAGGATGGAGAAGACATGGGCATGTTGGTGGGCATTAGGGAAGCAACCAATAGAGTGAGTATGATCAAAGACTAGTGAGAGAAGTAGGGATGACAGAGGGACAACATGTTGTCGAAGAGAGCTACACTCTTCTCCCTTTACCATCTTGATCTCCTGCTGAACCAATTCAACTCTAAACCATCTCCTTTTCTCAAATCCACTCCCCACTTATTCTGTCACCACTCGTGCCCTGAGGCAAGCCTCAGACTTCAGTCATTCCCCTCATCTACCTCCTTCACTCTTATATACTTGCCACTGAACAAAGCTGGGGAAAATCACAAAACCATATTAACTGGGTCCACTACAAATATGCTATATCATCTCAGCTGGACCCTTAATTTGTTTATGCTTCATTAATAAGCTTGCAATCCCATCCAATACAGACGATTTGCCAAATCTTTTTATCACTTCTCATAGCTTCCTCCTCCCACACTCTCAGCTGAGAACCTTGCCTATTTCACTGAAAAAATTGAGACCTTTTGCTGAGTGGTCCCTCTTAGCCCTTCCTCCTCATCTCACTCCACCATTATCTCTTCCTTTACCCCTATTTCAGATGAAGAGGTGGCCCTTCTCCTTGCCAAGGCAAACCCCTCTGCAAGCAGAATGGATCCCAGTCCATCTCATCTTCTCCAGCAGATTGCCCTCTCTATCATCTATATTCTCTCACTATTCTTCAATCACTCCCTGTCTACTGGCTATTTCCCTACTGAAATACACCCATATCTCTTCTATTCACTGGACTGGCTGATTCCTGCTAGCTAACATCCTAAATCTCTCTTCCCTTTAGAAAAGGTTGATTACAAGAGGTGTCTCTACTTTCTTTACTTTCACTCTCTTCTTAACTCTATGAATTGGCTTTTTTTTTTTTTGGCAAGGCAATGGGGGTTAAGTGACTTGCCCAGGATTACACAGCTAGTAAGTGTCAAGTGTCTGGTCTGAGGCTGGATTTGATCTCAGGTCCTCCTGACTCCAGGGCTCTATCCACTGCGCCACCTAGCTGCCCCTGCAATCTGGCTTTCAACTGCATCATTCCCCTGAAACTGCTGTCTCCAAAGTTACTGATGATCTCTTAAGTGCCAAATCTAATGGTCTTTTCTCAACTGTCACCCTTCTTGACATTTCTGCAACTTTTGATGCTGATCATCAGTCCTTGATAGTTTCTGCTTTCTGGGTTTCTGTGACACTCACTGCTATCTCCTGGTTTTTCTCCCTCCTGTCTGACCACTTCCTCTCTGTCTCCTTTGCTGGATGTTCATCCATATCATGCCCAGTAACAGTGGGCATCCCTCAAGGCTCTGCCTTGAGCCCTCTCCTCTTCTCTTTCTATACTATTTCATTTGGTCATCTCATCAGCTTCCTTGGATTAAATTGTCATCAGTAATGGCAATGTACTAGAGAATGTAATCATTCTCAGTTGTACGATCTACCTTCCCTAACCTTTCTTCTGACTTTGAGTCTTACATTTCCAACTGCCTACTGGACATCTCAAGGTGGATGTCCCACAGACATCTTAAATTCAACATGTATAAAACTCAAACTTCTCTATTGCTGTCAAGAATACCACAATCCTCCCAGTCACCTAGGCTTATGACCTACCTGTCTTTCTCCACTCCTCCCTTGTTGAGGGCCGATCTTAAGAGTCTGATAAGGGTTTAAGATCCAAGGCAGAGTTTGACCTCTGCCCAGGCTTTTACCTGAAAGGGCTCAATGATTCCGTGGTACGGCTCTCCAATTCCTTCCTGATTAGGAGGTCCCTGAGACATTCCTTCTCACTCTTTGAACCTTAGATTTACACATTCACTCCTCTATGCAGGTGGCACCAAGGCGCCTGGGAAAACCTTGGAAAATACAACCCAATCTAGGAACCCTGATAACAAGGAAATTCATGTTGTCACATCCTCAACAGATGTTCTGGGGAGTATCTCACAGGGAGGACTCTTTGAAGTTAGGCTAGATTTTCTATATATATCCTGTACCCTCAGATGAATAAACTGAGTCAGTAATTCTGCTCTGCCTGGCCCATGTCACAAGTTATTTCACGCCTCTCTGTTCAGTGTACAATCTGGTTGGGCAACACTCCCTCTCTCTTATCTCCCACGCTCAATCTATTGACAGGACACACTTGCAGCATCTCTTGTATACATCTTCCCTCCTTGGACAATGCCACCACCCTTTTACTGGCCCTCATCACCTTGCTCCTGGATTATTACAACAGCCTTCTATAGTTGGCCTCCCTGACCCAATTCATTCCCTGCTTCATTCTATCCTCTACTCAGCTATCAAATTGATCTTCCTAAGGCATGCGTCTGACTGTGTCACCCACTCCACCCCTATTAAATAAGTTCCATTGGCTCCCTATTGCCTCCAAGATCAAACATAAAATCCTCTATTTGGCGCTCAGAGCCCTTTATAACCTGGCCCTTTCCCACTTTTCCAGGCTCCTTACCCCTTGCTCCCTATCACGTACCTGATATTCAATGACACTGGGCCTCTTTGCTGTTCCTCACACAAAGCAATTAACCTCCTGACTCTGGGCATTTTCCTTGGCTTTCGTCAAGTGACAGCTAAAATCCTCCCTCGTATAAAAAGCCTTTTCAGATTCCTTTTTATATGAGCACCTTCCTCTTTGTCGATCATCTCCAACTTATCCTTGAGGCATCTTGACTGCACAGGGTTGTTCACCTGATGTCTCCCCATTAGACCGTAAGCTTCTTGAGAGCAGGGACTGTCTTTTGTCTTTCTTTATTTCCCCAGAACTTAGCACACAGTGCCTGGCATACAACAGTCACTTAATAAGTACTTGCTGACTGAGTAGCACTTACACTCCTCCTAGTGGTTAAGCCAGAGAATTATGCCTTACCTTCATGCTCTCTTCATGAAGTAAGTTATTCTGCTGCTTTAAATCAAAGTTTTTTGTCCGTTCAAACTGGAGCTCTCTTTCAATTGAGCTGCACAGAGTCTGAACTCTTTGCAAGTTCTGTCGAAGCTTCTGCAGCTCTTCTTCCTGCTGTTGATATCTCAAGCTTTTCTCTAGCAAACTCTGCACGAAGAAAGAAAACTGTTTTTAGAGGAAAGCAGGAATAAAAAAATAAATAACCAAGCACAGGTCACAAACAAGTAGGCTGGCTTCCCATTTGTCCAACTGAAAGATCTCACAATTACCTACATCTGGATAATTTACATTTCAGTTTATTCAATTTTTTTTAAAACCACCTTGTTTTCAAGTTTATTGCTAGGTAGCCCCTACACTCTTAATGGTTTTCTTACTTCTTGACTCTCTTTTGACTGCAGAGAAGAAGCCCTTTTGAGCTTGCCCTTCCAAATATATTCTAAGAAAGGGAGTCTTACAGAAGTCTGAGAAGGAATAGGAAATGGTCAAGACTCAGAGGGTGAGTGAAAGATGAGAAGGGGCACAGGATGAAGAAAATACCCTTGTTTCAGTCCCTGAGTCAGATCTGCAACGGGAATGCCCTATTTTTTTTAAGTAAATTTGCAGAATATCAGACACACCTATATTCCAATATAAGCACAAAAACATATTTCAGAGCAAAAGGTGAATTGGGGGGGGGGATTATCTACCATTTAAAATTAGCCATACTTCTGATCCCTTTTATTATTATGAAAAAAAAAATGGAAAGGGACAGGTATAGCCATTTGTTGCATTTATTCTGCCCCTGATGTTTTCATCCTTAAGTGGGAGAAATGGGGAAATTATAGGAGCAGGTAGACCCCTAATCTACCACCATATTCATCTTACTTTACTTCTAAGATTTCATTGGTGGAGGTATTCCTTCCATTGAATCAGATTGCAACTCTTTTTTATTTAAGCAGATGATGATTTCAAGAGTTCCTATGGTCAAAAAAATCATCACTCTTTGGCCAACCTGGTAATGAAGCATCTCTGACTTTAGCTAGGCTGATCCTCAGACAACAGGCAAAATAGTTTATCACTGGGCCAATATTCAAAGCCTTTACGGCTTAGTAGACCCTACTAGAGCTTCTGCTCCATTGGCAAAACCTTTGAGAACCCAAGATCATGTCCACACCATGATGAGGTAGTAGAAAAAGACTTTGGCAGAGGTACCTTCATTTTAGAATGGGGGAAAAACACAAGTAGGGAATTAGAGACTCTGTGTGTGTGTGTGTGTGTGTGTGTGTGTGTGTGTGTGTGTGTGTGTGTGTGCAAGAGTGCATGTGCATGTATATTTAAGAAGGAATGAGCATTTGAAGGTAAGAGAATGCAAGACTATATGTCCATGTGGCAGAATTTCAGACTCAAGCTCCCTGTCACTTCCCTTTCTACCACCAAGGATAAGGCTTTGGGAATCAAGACCTAATCTTATGACCTACACTTTTCTCTTTAGCAGTAAGTCATTAACTCTGGGGCCAGTTGTTTTGAATATTATATAATTACTTAATTACAGGCACGAGGATTTATAAGAGTGTTCAGACCAATGCTCAGGCAGGCAAATATAGTCACCTATAATAAAGTGTACAACTTTGTGCCTTTGAGACAATATTTAGTCATCCTTTGGCACTCTCCTAATCCATTCCAAACCCATTTCCATCTCTCCCTAGGCCTTCCAAAATTCTATTTTGGGGGAAGAGAAGGGCATAAACATTTATATAGTGCAACAATGTGTCAGGCCCTGTGCTAAGCACTTTACAAAAATGTCATCTGATCTTCACAACAACCCGTGAGGTAGGTGCTGTTATTATCTTCACTTTGCAGTTGAGGAAACTGAGATAAATAGGGGTTAAGTGACTTGTCCAGGGTCATACAGTTAGGAAGTGTCCAAGTCCAGATCTGAACTCAAGTCTTCCTGATCCAAGCCCAGAACTCTATGCACTATGGGGGCACACAGAGCTGCCCCTAAATATTTTATTTCCTTTGCCTCTTCTCTTGAAAGACAAAACTCTCTGTATTATAATTTATACTTCTGCCCAAATAGAATGTTACCTCAAACCAAGCTCTTATGAGTCACAGTTAACTAAACTGAGTCTCAGCTTTTACTGATTTCTCCTCTGCTTTAGCTTTTCTCTTTTTTGAGCTGTCCTGGGACCTGAGAACACTTTAGTCTAATCACCCTAGTGTCTTCCTTAGCCATTACTCATCAAGACTTAACTAACTCAACATTATTAACATATGATCATTTAATCTATAAATATAAGTGCCAAAATTCAACACTTGGTCTGGACTAATGGCACAGAAAATATAGGTGGACAGACAAAAGGAGAGCTTTTTGTTCATAAGAAGAGAGTGGAAAGAGATTTAAAGGTAATGTTCGCACTTAGGACTTCTTTTCTTTTTAAATGTTAGGTTTGGGGCTTAAGTACTTTTTGGTCCCAAAGGAAGAATTGCTATAGTCTTAGCTCCCCAGTCTACTGTCTCACAGGTCTGTGCAACCCACATCAGGGGAGTGGTCTGGGTTTAGAAATAAAGAGGTAGTAGGGAGAGAGTCAGCCAACTAGGGACAGAGCAATGACTACTAACTTGCTCTTCCTTGCCCCTCAAGCTAGGGCCAAGGAATAGGGTACAGAGTGAAACCTTTTGTAATGTTTGGGGGAGGCCAAGAGGGGAAGCAGGGTCGGAGGAAAAGGCCTTAATCTGCATAGCTTGCTAGGATTTGGAGCTTTTGCTCATCTTTCAAGGCAAGGAAACATACAGGAAATCACTGAATAATCCAAACTGCTAGAAAGCACACAAATCTGGAGGGCAGGTCCTGATGCAGCAATTTTAGGATTACAGACATACCATACCAAAAATAAGAATAATCAGAATCACAGAATTTTGGAGTTGGAGGGGATCTCAGCAGTCAATAACCATAACAAATATCCACTACAATACATACAAAGAGCAGTCATCTACTCTTCGCTGGAAGACCTTCCAAATATCAAGCCCATATTTATCCCTTTGCCACTTCTGCTTACCCTTCCTGGTTCTACCTTCTAAGGACAAACAGAACTAGTCCCTCCTCCACAAGACAGATCTTCAATGATTTAAACACAACTATTAGGACCCCTCCCCACTGCCTCCTCCCTCTCCTGGCCCAATCTTCTCTTGTCCAGACTTCAAACAGATCCAGTTCCTTGAAAAGATCTTAGCTGGCACAGACTTGAGGTCTTTCAAAATGTTGTTTGACTTCTTTGGACATGCTCCAGTTTATCAATGCCCTTCTTAAACTGTAGTACTCAGAACTGAACACAATACTTTAGATATGATCTGACTAGTGCAGTAGAAGGATTATGATCCCAGAGGCTCTTAATGTAGCAAAAAGGTCATTCTTCTTAGCAGAGAAAAGAGAAGTTTCAGAAGAATGGAGCAGCTCTGTCTGGTCTTTCCTTGGTCAGATATCATTATCCCATCCACCTCAAGTAGCACCTGGATCCTTTCTTTGGTCACAGAATTGCAGGTTTAGAGCTACAAGGTATCTTGGAAGCCATTACTAGAAGTCCGTGACCAATATTTTACAGATGAAGAAATTGAGATGCAGTGATGTCTAGTGACTTGCCCAAGATCATGCAGTATTTCTCAGAGGTAATGATCCTCCTCTTTCCCTCAATAAACTTAAAACCCACATTTTTTTCACCATCCTCAGCTCGTTTTAAGTGTTGGTACTCCTGAAATTTTCACAGGAATACGCCATACATCTATTCATCCTCTGCTACTTGTGCTTGTTTCCCCCTTCTGCATATATCCTTTTACAATCTAAGTTGGTTGGAGACTTCCCTATGTCAGGCTCTTATGACAATTTCCATGTTTCCACCACAATAGAACTGTTTCTCTTTGTGTCTTCACAATTTCATTCTTGGGAGTTTCCTACCCCTCTTGGGCTGATTTTCCCTACAGAATCTTAATTCACTGGATCCTACCTATATTTCTGCTGAACCTTTAGAAATATGCTTACATATAATTCCAGATAAAATCCAGTTTCCTCTCCTCTAGCAAAAATTATAGGATGGTATGGTCACTTCCTCTCCAACAACTAATTTGTCCCATTGATGAAAATTAGATCCAGCACAGAATATGTTGGTTTAGTTCAAGTTTTGGTTAATGAAAAAATTATTAGGAAAACTTATATTCCATTCTGATAGAATGTCTAAAGGAAAAAACAAACCTAACAGTTGTTATACTAAGCATAAACAGCTTCTAGAAGGATGAAACTATCATTAAGGCAAATCAAGAAGTTATCAGCTACTCTGCTCCTGGCAGAGGGAGAATTCCAAAAGATATGTCGAGATAACTGAAGTCTCTCATCACTACTATAACTATCCTCTGTATCGTCGATTTCGTCTTTCTGTCCAGGTAGTATATAGAATGTTCTGATGACAAAATTACTTCTGCTATTCTCTCACTGATCTTTACCCAAATGCTCTCCATCCTGCTTTCTTGCTCTGATTCTTTAATTTCTTGACAAGACTATGACTTCCTTTATATTTCTTGCTAATTGCCTAAAAGAATTTAGATACCATATTTCAGGAAACTGTCAAAGAAATATTTACAAAATTGGTCAAAAGGAGTAAAATATAAATGTAAAGAATCCATAGGATACCTGCAAGGGAGAAGACAAAATCTGACATATCTAGATATATCATAGTTAAATGCCAAAGCTCTAATAATATGGAAACAATACTATAAGCTACCAGAAATAGTTTAAAAAATCACTTTGTTGTTGTTCAGTCATATTCATGACTCTTTGTGACCTCGATTTGGGGTTTTCTTGGCGAAGAAACTGGCATGGTTTTCCATTTCCTTCTCCAGTTCATTTTACAGATGAGGGAACTGAGGCAAAGAGAGCTAAGTTACATTCTCAGGGTTAAAGGGCTAGTAAGTGTCTGAGGCCAGATTTAAATTTAGGAAGATGAGTCTTCCTGATTCCAGGCCTGGCATTCTATCCACTGCACCACCTAGCTGCACCAAAACCACTTATCAAAGAACAATAATTAGGATCACAGTGGACTTTTCAAGGAGAATGAGGGAGGATGCAGAAATTAGAATATGTATTATTTATTATATTAGTATATCATACTATATCATAT